CTGCCCCCCATGCATGAATTTCATGCACCGGGCCTCTAGTTTTTTAATTAGTATTTTATATGTACAGGAGTTTACAGAAAAAGAGAAAGTCAAAGTAATAATTAGACTCAGGGGTTTACCTACCATTTTTACGAAGGTCAGGGGGTTTGGGATTTGAAGAATGATGAATTGTGGGACAGCAACTAAGAACTACATGAGGAAACTAATGGAAGAATAGGGTTAATTTGTAAAGTAGGTTTATGCACATCATCTTGGTGCCTACTCTCCATCCCTAGTGATAAGAGTAGCTCTCCTCTTCCTGTACAGGAGAGGAGGGGACACCTCCACAAAGGGAAATTCATGCCCTGCTTTTAGGCAGAAAAGGTGGAGGGCAGAGAACTCTTCCTGTATCTGCTGATTTTCAATAACCCTTATGCCAAAATGGCATATTTTGGGGTTGCATATTCTGATTCCATTCAATATAAACACTCTCCAGTTGTCTGCTGACCCCAGAAGAAAAAAAGGCATGTTCAGCTTGCCTGGACCCACCCACAGCCTGGACCCGAGCCCCGCTGGGCCCAGCCTAGATCAGCTGAACCACAGCCAACCCACAGGTGCCTGAGCAAGAAATAAATGCTTATGGCAGTGTGCCACTGAGACTTAATGATTGCTTGTTCCTTGGTGTGCTTGTAAGAATAGTTTGTTTATCTGTAAAATGAAAAAAAAAAGTATATCTGACTTGCAGTGGTATTGTGAAAACTAAGTGAAATCTAAATGTAATGTCTCAGATTTCAACATCCTGAGATGTAACCGAGGTCACGTTCATATTGGTCCCTGATTCAAATGGTTCCCCGGCTCATGAGGAAACCCCGTCTGGAAGACGGTCTTGAAATAGTCTTGATGTTCCTCAGTGTTGGGGTGTACCCCTACCTCTGCCAGCCCCAGGTCCACACAATTCTGCCAGGGTGCCACTCTCAGCTAGGGTTCCGTGTCTACCCAAAGGCTCAAGCTGGTCATCTGTGGGCCTGCAGGGAAACTCAGCACGAACAGCAAAGAATTTGAGCTTCAAGAGGCAGGACAGCTAAACTCCTTGACTTAACACATATCTACCTTGCACTGAGCAGTGCATTTCAGGGATTCATGCTACAGGGAGCTGAGGGATAAGGGTGCCTAAAAGTGGCAATTAATTAAAAACAGCATTAAAGCCTGGCTGGCGTGGCTCAGTAGTTGAGAGTTGACCTATGAACCAGGAGGTCACAGTTTGATTCCCGGTCAGGGCACATGCCTGGTTGTGGGATCAATCCCCAGTGTGGGCCATACAGGAGGCAGCCAATCGATGATTCTCTCTCATCATTGATGTTTTTCTCTCTCTCTCCCTCTCCCTTCCTCTCTGAAATCAATTTAAAAAATATGCATATCCCGTATAATAAAAGGCTAATATGCAAATCGACCAAACGACAGAATGACTGGTCACTATGACACCTACTGACTACCACGGGGCAGATGCTCAATGCAGGAACTGCCCCCTGGTGGTCAGTGCGCTTCCACAGGGTGTGCTGCTCAGCCAGAAGCCTGGCTCACAGCTAGTGGGTGCAGTGGTGGTGGCGGGAGCCTCTCCCGCCTCCTCAGCAGTGCTAAGGATGTCCGACTAAGCCATCAGTTGGATATCCCCCGTGGGCTCCCGGACTGCGAGAGGGTGCAGGCCAGGCTGAGGGACCCCTCCCCCGCCAAGTGCATGAATTTTGTGTACTGGGCCTCTAGTATGGAAATAAGGCAGGCAGAACTGGACAGAGGGAGAACTTGCACTACAATGAGGCTGCCACCAGGGGGAATTCTAGAGCTGGGATGGCCCTCCAGGGCTGTTCCAAAGTGAGGAAAGGGGCCTTTGTTTTTGCATTTGGATCTTTCTCAAGGTGAAGAGGGGAGATGATTTTGCCCCCTAGGGAACATTTGGCAATGTTTGGAGATATTTTTTGGCTGCCACAACTGGGGGGTGGGGGGGAGGTGGTATGCACTACTGACATCTAGTGGGTAGAGACCAGGGCTGCTACTGCTAAATATCCTACAATGCCCAAGACAACCCCCCACAAGGGGCCATCCAGGCCCAAATGTCAATAGTGTGGAGACTGAGAAAGCCTGCCCTAATCAACAAGCCATTGGCCATGAGCTGCTCTTGCAAGGATGGAACCTTGTGCAGGTCCCTGCAGCTGATGGCAATTCCCATTGAGGGCTGGTGCTGGGAGCTGCAAGCAGCCTATGTTCCCAGCAACTCAGGGTTGGGTGTGTTTGCCATGAAGAGAGGACCTAGGCAGAGCAGAACCCTTGCCTGGTCCCTCAGACTTGTCTTTCTCACAAGAATACCAACCACATTCAGGGTACTGACCTGGAAATTTTACATGCATTATCTCATTTAAGCCTCATGAAAAGCCAAGAGGTGACTTTTATTACCCCTATTTTATAAGACAAATTCATGCACAGGTGGGGTCCGGCCAGCCCACCCTGATGGGGTCCGATTGGGGGCAGGGCTGGCCAGGGGGAAGGGCTGCGGTTGGTTGGTTGCCCCCTGATCAAACTCCCGGTTGAAGAGACAATTTGTATATTAGCCTTTTATTATACAGGATAATCTGAAACTCAAAGAGTTAATCACTCTTGTAAGCTTACTGAGCTAGGAAGTTACCGAAACAGGATCTGAACCCAGGGCTCCAAAGTCTGGCTCATTTGAAAGCAGGAAGGATAAGCTCTGCTATCAGACAAGAGCACACAGAGGAGAAAGAGGGTAGACTGCAAACTTAACCCAGAATTGGTATGAACCCAGCCTCAGAGCAACCAGAAACCTTGAAACAATGTCTGATCCTGTGCAAACATCATGGGGTCAGATCCTGAGCTCGGATTCCTGGAGAGCAGCCGCCTGCCACCTCCCGCCAGCGTTCAAGGGTTATCAGAAGGATCCCTTCTTAAGGAGGACTTTTTTTTTTTTTTGTCTCTTGAGGGGAATGCATAAACCTGAGGACTTTGTACAATGACAACAGTAACTATGAAAAAGGAGAGAAAAAACACTTCCTGGAAGTTAATGTATAAAAATAATTTTTATTTACTACTGTAAATAAAGTAGTGCAAAGAGTAGTTTGGACCCACAATATTGCATTACTGATTTATTTACCACCTTAGCAGCATACAGTGCACAGTCTGCCTTTCCTCTCCCTCTGTCTCACACACACACACACACACACACACACACACACACACACACACCTATATGGACTCAGGCAGGCATAAGGGGTGGGGATAACTGTGAACTAAAGGCATTTTTCCTGCACATCCCACTGCTGCCAGTCTATTCTAATGGGTAATTCATGGAGAAGGCTACACTTAAATACTAAGCATTTTCTAAATGTTATTTTATGGATTGCAATTGAAAGGTAACCGATGCCCAACAATGTCATTGAATGATTCGGAAGCACTACAACCCTAGAAAAATTCAAGGAGCAAAATGTAAACCAATTTACAAAGCCATCGCCTTCCCTGCACTTCCAGCCACAACCGATTTATGTCAAAGTGCCTCAGAACTGCTGGGTGTTGGAAGCCAAATTGCAATCTGTTGGTTGGACTCCGAGGAGCAGGGCTGTGGCAAACACATGTACCAGAATATTACCTACTTGTAGAAAAGTCACAATTTTCTGTTATTGAATAAAAGGGGATGAACAAGGGGCTAAGATTCGTAAATGACATCCCAGGATATAAGGATTCCGATATGTTGCTGGGCAAACTGTGACTCCCAATACACAGAGTCACCGGGAATGGACGTCTGCGATGACCCAGCTAACCTCCAACACACTCCTAAGATCAAGATGGTCCTTGTATTTGTTTGAATGCTCTGGGCACTCCTTTGTCATTTGATTAAAAAAAAAAAAGACACCAAGTGCAAAATTCACATCCAGTTGACAAGACTTTTAAGGTGTTTATCAGTACAATGCCCTGGCCCCAGGGTGTTTATCAGTACAATGCCCTGGCCCCAGCTTTACATCGAGAGAGACCTGGAGTGCACAGTTCACCCACGTGGCTCTGGGTTATTAGTGACTGTGGGCTGGTCCTGAGCAGAGACATCTGCAGCTGGAGTCACAGCTGGACTTGCAGTGGGAGCGGTGTCGTCTGGGGAGGCCCTGGCTGGTGTCAGGTTGAAACCGTTGGCTGCAGAGACACACAAACAGATGGTGAGTATTCACAACAGTACATGCAGGGCCCACAACCATACCCAGAGCCCAGCAAGCCAGGAGAGATGCTTTTAATTCAGTGGCCCTGAAACTGACTAGGTAAGCAATTTTGGACCCATTTTCTAAGTTCTTTAGACTTTGGTGTCGCCTTCTCTAAAATGGCAGGTTGAAATAGATATATGAAGATTTCTAATGGTCCTGACATCCTGGGACGCTGCACTTATGCTGTGACTTCCAGGTTAATATTTTAATCAAACAAAACAAAACAACTCTCTGGTTGATGTTTCTTATGGCCACCTCTTCTCCTCCCTTCATGGCATTGATGCAATGCAAGCTATAAATTATACCAATCAATTAGGAAGAACTGTTGGTTTTATTTATATTCTTACTAGAGGCCTGGGAGCAGGCCTAAGCCATCAGTCGGACATCCTTTGCATTGCCGCGGAGGCAGGAGAGGCTCCCGCCACCGCCGCTGCACTCACCAGCCATGAGCCTGGCTTCTGGCTGAGTGGTGCTCCCCCTGTGGAAGTGCACTGACCATCAGGGGGCAGCTTCTGTGCTGAGTGTCTGTCCCCTCGTGGTCAGTGCACGTCATAGCGACCGGTCATTCCTCTGTTTGGTCAATTTGCATATTAGCCTTTTATTATATAGGATACCATTTGGATGTACCAAATTTGGTTTAAAATATTTTATTTAAATAAATGTATTTAAGTTTTGAAAAACATAATTACTAGTTCTAATTATTTATCAATCTACCATTAGGTAGGCGGTTGGACCACCAACATGTTAGGGAGGCTTAGAAAGTTTTATATTTTACTAGTGACCTGGTGCATGGATTCGTGCACATTGGAAGGAAATTAATTAGGTGGTCAGCAGGGTGGGACTGGGCAAGACAGGCCAGACACATCCTGGAGCCAACCTCCCGCAGTTCCTCCCTGGCAAGCTGCACCTGGGGTGGCACTGTGGCTCTAAGGGCGTCTGTGGAGTAAGTGGAGTCCCTCCTGCAGGTGGGGTCCCTTGGCCTGGCCTGCAGGGATCAGGTCAAAACTGGCTCTCCAACATCCCCTGAGGAGTCCGAGAGGCCACTCTGCAAAGTTGCTGTTGTACAGGGTGTGGAACACAAATGCAAGTGTGCAGTAAACCAGATTTGGGGCCGACAGTGCCCCAGCAACAACATAACCTTGGCCAAAGGTAGAATCATGTGGCCCCATGAGGAATCAGGCTCCCTCCTCTCTGGTTCCGGGGTGCGTCACCCGAGAACCACCGCTTCCAAGTCACTGCAGCTCGGCAGCTCCTGTGTTGAGCGTCTGCCCCCTGGTGGTCAGTGTGCATCACAGCTACCGGTCGGACAGACACTTAGCATATTAGCCTTTTATATATATAGATGTCAGTAGTTTTCAAATGGGAGCAACTTTGCCTTCTAGAGGACAGCTAGCCATGTTAGATATTTTCGGTTGTCACAATGGAGGGCGGTGTACTACTGGCATGTAATAAGTAGAGGCCAGTGGTGCTGCTAAGCATTCTACAATGCTTGGGACAGGCCCCCTACAACAGTGACCTGGCTTTGTGTATTGAGGCCAAGAGGTGTCCTGGTTATAGACTATGGGCTCTGGATCCGGTTGCTCTGCCCTTTATCAGTGATGTGGCCTTGGACAAATTTCTCACTCTCCTAAAATATGGGGAAAATAAAAGTATCTAGACCAGCGGTTCTCAACCTGTGGGTCGCGACCCCTTTGGGGGTCGAGTGACAATTTCACAGGGGTCGCCTAAGACCATCGAAAAACACATATATAATTACATATTGTTTTTGTGATTAATCACTAGGCTTTAATTATGTGCAATTTGTAACAATGAAATTGGGGGTCACCACAACATGAGGAACTGTATTAAAGGGTCGCGGCATTAGGAAGGTTGAGAACCACTGATCTAGACCCTGTTGAGCTGTTTGGATTAAATGAACTAATGTACATAAAGTGCTTAGAACAGTGCCTGGCAGGCGAAGGTACTCAACAAACGTCAGTTATTGCTACTAGAAACCTGGTTTACTGTAGATGTGTGTTAGGATTTATTAATTTCAGGCGCATGGCTTGCAGGATTGATGACAGAGCTGGTGCATTTGTTTCTGAGATGCCTACAGTTTTCCTTCAGGCCTCAGTAGCCTAGGAAAACAGCAGAAAACTGTGGAGCCAGAAAGACCAGAAGTCAAATGGCTCTGATGTTTACCAGCAGAGTGATCTTGAGCAAGTTACTTAACCACTCTGAGCTTGTTTCTTATCTGTAAAATGAGGGTAGCGGTATGCAGGGATGCGTGACATATGGCTAACACAATGGCCCTAGTTTGTGCAACAATTGCTACTGGTAGTTTGCTTTTAAGTAGTGATCTTAATTAAACTCAAGAATCCTAAAGTCTCTTACAGTTTCCAGTCCGTGGGACCATTTTTAAAGGTTCCATCCTGAAATGTATTGACTTTAAGAAGATGCACATATTGGCAATCTGACTTCTAGAAAAACCCTTCAAGAGTTGCACCTCCAAGTACCTAGAGGCATCTCCAGGAGGCCAGTCTAAGAAATTCGGCCATGGGCTCCAAAGCCTCCAGGAATCTCTTTCAGTACCTACAGGAGCTCTTGTGAACCCAGAGACTATTCTGTGAGAACAGGACAGTGGTGGGGTGGGGGGAGCTAGGGGGTTGCACAATGTTGTGACATTTCTCGGTTAAAGCCATCACTCTGGCAGGTGATCTAACTGTGGCAGGGAGCAGGAGGCACAGGGATGTGGCACAAAGACCACTGGCTGGACCCCAGAGACCTGGTCTGGTCGAGTCTCATTTAACCACCACTCATACATGGCTTTGGGGTAGATACTGTGAATTTCTAAATGAGTCTCGTAGGCCTTGGTTTCCTCATCTGTGAACAGAGAGGCTTGGATCAGATGGCCCAAGACCCCCTTAGGCCCTCACATGGATCTTTCTGATGATCTCTGCAGAAGTTAATGAAGGCATGCATTTTCCCTTTTCAAGCGGAGGGAAATGTTTAAATCACCATGGTAACAAGATAAGCCAGCAATCAGTTTTCTGATTAAAACAAAAAAGTGCCACTGCGGGAATGTGGAAGGAATGTATAATCAGCACGGCCACCGTTTAAACCTTCTCGTCAGAGCGCAATAAAAATGCTCGATGCTTCTACGGGAAGCTTGTTATTGCCCACGGGAGAAGGACTTCTCCCCTCCCACTGCGGGTCTGCAATCACCGGACAAGCCCCCCACAGCCCGTCATCATTTCCAAGTGGCCTCTTTTTCTGTGCTCACCTGGAATGTGTGCTAATTTGATTACTGGACTAGAATCAAGGTAACCAGGAAAATACGTGTGTTGTTTAAAAAATTACACATCATATTCCAGAGCCAAATAGAAGTGATTTTTGGGTTACTTGCCACTCGGGGGACCATTTTCCGTACATTAGTGAGAAAAATCAAGAGCTGGCCCTGAGTCCCGTGGGCAGACGATGAGGCTCACTGCCTGTGTTTGTATGGCTCACCACCTAAGAATGGCTCCTACATTTTTAAATGATTGAACAAAAATTAAAAAAGTTATATTTCATGACATGAAAACCACATGAGATTCAAATTTTTAAAAAATATATTTTTTTATTGATTTCAGAGAGGAAGGGAGAGAGAGAAATAAAAACATCAATGATGAGAGAGAATCATTGATCGGCTGCCTCCTGCATGCCCTCTACTGGGGATCCAGCCTGCAGCCCGGGCACGTGACCGGGACCGAACCCAGGACCCTTTAGTCTGCAGGCCAATGCTCTATCTACTAAGCCAAACCAGCCAGGGCAAGATTAAAATGTTCATGTCTATAGTAAAGTATGATTGGCAATCAGCCACACCGTTCATTTTCATGGATTGTCAATGGCTGCTTTCACACAATAAGGAAAATTGAGTCATGCCCTGGCTAGTGTTGTCCAGTGGTTAGAGTGTCAGCCTGTGCACCAAAGGATTGTGGGCTCAATTCCAGGTTAAGGGCACATACCTGTGTTGCAGGTGCAGGGAGGCAACCAATCAAGAGGCACATTGAGGTTTCTCTCTCTCCTCTCTCTCCCCCTCCCTCCCTCTCTAAAAATCAATGGAGAAAATATCCTCAGCCTGGCTCATGGTTGTGTTGACTTACGAACCAGGAGGTCACAATTCAATTCCTGATCAGGGCACATGCCCAGTTGTGGGCTTGGTCCCCAGTAGGGGGTGTGCAGGAGGCAGCCAATCAATGATTTTCTCTCATCATTGATGTTTCTCTCCCTCTCCCTTCCTCTCTGAAATCAATAAAAACATATATTAAAAAAATAAAAAAATTTCCTTGGGTGAGTTTTAACAAAAAAATAAAAATAAAATAAGGAAAGTTGAGTCATGACAGAGATGGCCCTCAAAGCCCCAAATGTTTATTATCTGGCCCTTTACAGAAAAAGCTTGCCAATTCCTGTTGTGGACCATTGTAGGGAAAACGTCTGCTTGCCAGCTGACCAGACAGGAGTGTGCGGGAATGGAGAACACGAGGGAATATACTGGGTGTATCCTGAGACTGTCGAATGTTTGCCAAGATGGGGTAGAAGGGGAGCCTGAGGAGGAAGCCCTGGAAATCTCAGCTATGAATAAGATCTAGCCTACTTCCTTCGGGCCTCTCAGTTGAGCAGGGCCCAGCACAAACGTGACCTGTGTCATTGAAACCTTTCTTGCGAGTGGAGATACTGGGAGGGCGTGAGGGTAATGAGGTAGGAGAAAGGTGAAACCTCATCAGTACGTCGCTCTGACTTGCAGGCCACTGCTTCTTTCATGGGCACCACATTTTGTGTCATTTTACTGTAATTTTAGTAGCAACCTCATTAATTAAAATGTGGAGGACAGGAAAAGAGTGGGAAAAGGTTTAATTAATCTTGTTTGTATCATCTTCCTCCTACACTGGCTAACCACTCAAGCAGAAAGGATGA